TATCAGCGATGAACATGGACACAATAAGTTGACTGTGGTTTGAAAATATAACATTCCATAATATTAAATGCATGCATACTTGCAATTTCCACTTTACTGTTAATATATTTCATCCTCGAAAATAGCTAAATGCACAGCCGAAAGCGCACAGAAAATATAACATTTGGACAGTTTCCTTATAATTTATCTACTGAAAAGAAAAATATAAGATCATATGAGAAATTATACAAAAAAACTTAATCAATGCACCTTGTCTGTCATATTTAATGATATATATATATATATATATATATGATTAATGATGAACTTTTCTCTGATGAATTTAAGCGTGCTACTAGAATGGCAACTATATATCAACGTTTTATTGTTGAAAAAGCTTAATACAACCACTACTTCTGCTCTAATATTTTCTTTTTTCGCATTTATCACCTGTGGAAGTCGCTTCCGATTTCTTGCTTCTTTGATAACAACACTCTTCAAAAATTTAAATACAACGCCAATCGTCATCTCCTGTCTTCTTGATTTTTTCTTGCCCTTTCTTCACTCCTCCCAAATAGTCTTCTCATTCTCTTTCACTCTCTTTCACTGCATTCTAATGACAGTATCGCCTTGCTTAAGGTGAAGCGATTAAAATAATTGTCTCTGAGCTGAGTGATGTTATATTCAAGACATCGATTCCAGAGTTTATCAGACGAATTTTTCCGTAATTTTTCAGTACACTTTGCAGGTCGTTTCAGTAGTTGACTCCCGATTTTCTTATTCTCCGTTAGTTCGCTGTGAGTTCTAGGTGAGGAAAAATGGAATAGTCAATATAAGAGATCTAAAATAAACACCTGACAAACACCTAAGTTCTATTTTGGTTCGATGGAAAGAGAGTGGAAACAAAGATTTTATAACGACAAATTAAGTTTGAATAATGTAAAATATCTAAATAATACAAAATATTCTTAGAAAATTAAAGAAAGTAAAGGGGTTAACCCAGAAATATCATCTTTGCCTCTTAGAAAAAAATTCCTATATTGCAAAATATAGATAACCACAATATTTTTAAATAAAAATATTTTTAACAATGAAGTTCACCCTGTACAAGGTGTACGTGTGTTTGAGAGGGGGAAGCACGAATGTATTTGTGTGTGTGTTTGTGTGTGTGTGTTTGTGTGTGTGTGTTTGTGTGTGTGTGTATAAAATAATCAAAAGAAGGTGATGTCAAGTGAGAGTGAAGAACTTGTTTATTCTAAATGTAATTCCTGACATTCTCCTACTTCTATAATTTATTTCTTTTTCAGCAAACCGACGATGAATTTACGCCATATTGCATTGCGAGGTAAATAGCCATTTTGAAATTTTCTTATTCTTTTATAATATATGATATAACTTTCCAAATATGGGTTAAATTGTGGAGTATATAATGTCGAAGGAGCACAGACATCTGTTTAAGAGCAATAAAACTGTTAGTAATAAATCGATGTAACAAAAATCAAAAAAATCTGTTAAGGATATACAGGGTAAATTGTCGCCATTTTGTATTTTTCATGCGCGTTGTGAGAAAAAGAGTACCATGACTCAATACCCTCCGACAGAAATTTGGAAACGGCATGCTCTACTGCTTGGCAATATATTATGTGGGTTTTCGCTTATATAATCTACTTTATTACGAATATTAATACTGTATATGCTGGAGTACAAAGCGACTGGTCTTATAAGTCGACCACCAAATTTTCAAGTAAAAATGTCGGTTTTAGGTTATTCGCTGTACAAGACGATCCCTCTACATCGTGTTTTAAAATGTATTGAATTCATTAAATAAATTCAATAAGGATATAATTATTTTCACTCAAATTCTAATGAAAAAAAAGGAAGACTGGTGGGGAGATGCTGTCAGTTAACTGACACAATCTATAATACCTCATGACTGGGTGCTGTGTTTTCTGTAGACTATCCTACTAGCCTGAATTACTTTTTCCCTGTTCAACACCCACTCGTTCCACTGTTCGAATGCTATATTTAAACAGCTTTTTGAGACACACATCCAGTTGTGTTTCTGTTCAATATCATCGAAAAAAAGGAGGCGGTGGATTAGCCTATCATCAAAAATCTCTCCATGCTAACAACTTTCATAAACTACATGATTTAAGGTTCACATTTTATATCTGGAGTATAAGACGGTCTCCTATTTTAGTGAGATTTTTTAAGGTTAAAATGTCGCCTATACGCCGGTATATACGGTAATTACTTATTGGGGTAGCAGGTTTTATTATATATATATGTGTATGTATATATATATATATATATATACGCATATATATATATATATATATATATATATATATATATATATATATATATATATATATATATAAAATGGACAAAGTCCGACAATTATTTTAAGACATTTTTATGTTTATACGTTCTTTTTATATATACAAATATGTAAGTAAATGCTCTGTTTATAATAAACAGTATTAATAAAATTTACCGGTCTGAATGCCCGAGAAATTGTCATAGATCAAACTTAACTGGAAAGCATGGAACTTGAAGAGTGCTTGATGAGAAGTGCGAGAGAAGAAACTGTCAGCATAGAACTTACGGTTACATTTAGCCAATTCAACTATAACTGAGACCTTGTCCCCAATCTAGTACTGCGCTTAAGTTCATAAAATTCAGTTAGTGAAGAGTTCATCCGAAAAATTACTATGAAAAGTATTTATAGAAAGGCTACAGAGAAGTAACTTTAGGGCAGGGGGTAAATAACTGAAGCCGAGAAGCTAGGTCAGGACCATTAATATTGCTGATTCTTCTTTGGATTTCATCAAAAATCTTTAAATATACAGCAGGAGCACCGGACCATATATAGCCGCAAAAACATGGACGTATGGTAGACTTAAAGATATGTATGATAAATTATGGAGAGAACAATTGTGATTATGTAAACTTTGTTAGAAAATAATTGTTGGAATAAAATTATTCGAAAAAATTTATTCGAATTGTAAAATGTTTGAATGAAAATTAATCGAAAGGACAATTATACTAAAAATTATACTGAATGATAATTAGTCGAAATGGAAAATTCTGTATTAGAATTAAAATGTAAAACTTAAAAGAGGAAATACATATATGGTAGTTATTTGAAATCCAAATATTGTTAATAAAACAACTAAGTAAGAAAAATACTTATATCCTTAAGTTATATGATACTGTAAGCAAATAGTCAACTACTGAAGAGTACGTGTTAAAGGATGCCTTTAATTAAGATCAAATTTAGCTGAGAAGTAAGGAGCCGGGCGAGAGTTCCACAAACAAAAAAAGAAAATGTTAAGAGAGGTCTTATAGTTACATCTAACCATTTCAAATCTCAACCGGTGAGACCATGTTGCTAATTTAGTCATATTCATAAATTCTTAAAGTCTAGGTACCATAGCAATTCATAAAGTCGATAGATCTTATCCTAAGAATTACTATGAAAGCATTTATTGAAAAGGCACGGAGAATCAACTTCATGGCAATTGGAAAGTGATTGAAATCGAGACATCAAGTCAGGGTCAATAATACTGGTGATCAAAAACCTCTAGATATATATCAGAAGTACCAGAACATATGTGGAAACAATGGACGCATGGTAGACTTATAGATATGTAAGATAGATTCAGGAGAGAAAAATGTCTAGTAGGACAGTGAATCAATTTCCTTAGCTGCTGACTTAGCACTGGAGTCAATATAGTCATTCTTGTCAGCTGAGAACATGAGAAACAAGTCACTTTCATAGAGGTTGGCATTAGCCCTGTTGATGGAAGGCAGAAAAGGGGTTTCTCAGATGATTAATAGATAACAGTTTTGTTTTGGAGGCGTTAAAATTAACAAACCGTTTTTTTTCCTAGTTTACGATAGACTGTAGATTTTCTTTTAGATCAACTACCAATTTGACATATCGATCTGATAAGACTTGATATCAAGATAGGAGTAAATGATTATGTCATCTGAATTGATACCAAGTTGCGAGCTATTGCGCCTTCTATTTGTTGAAATATTAGTGAAAAGACAGAAAATTAATAAATTATTATTTTACATATTAATGTTGGATCCTTGAATCATATGAGCGTATTTCTGTAGGCTCATATCGTCAAATGTTTCGCAGCACAGAATTAAGATGAGAAAATACGCAGTAAATTTTATAATAGCAGTTTAACTTTTAAATTAAAAACTATAACGATTAAGATATTATTTGCTAAATACGTTTCTTTTAATTTCCAATCTCTCCTTTTTCAGAAACTCTACTGAAATCTGCTCCAACCGAGGCACTTGTATCCGAGGACGCTGTCAGTGTTACAAAACACCTCACGTATGGCATTTCTATTTTAAAATCTAATTCATTCACACAAAAGCAAGTAGGTACAGAAGTCCAGCTACCTTTCCTGTTTAGTATTAATTGTCTTATAGGAAATTAGACACTGCATAGCAGTACAACTTATTTTTTTTCTTTTGGTTCTAACTATATTTCCCTGCCTTAATACTTTGTTTAGATTCTAAAAGGCATCTTTCACTATTTTCACGGAGTCAGACTTTATATCGTCCATTAGGATAATACTCACATAGTTAAATTTCTGCATCTGCTTGATTTTGATATCCACAATACATAATTCCTTCACTTTTTGAAAGTATACATCATATAAATAATGATTATGAAACTCCCAGTGGAAATCTTGGTGTTATGGCATCTTCAAGGGACGTTATTACTGAAGAACTGCTTAAATACACGTTTGACGCGTGCAAGGAACAGTCTGAAGAAAGCTGGTGGCTTCAGTGCTTGCTTCTGGAAGAATTCGAGTTATTTGATCACCAATAATAGAATGAAGAATATAAAAAAACAGATATCCTATACCTACAGTCAAACACGGTGAAGATAGTGCCGAAGTTATTGTTCTGTTGAAAGCTCTAGGGAAATGATTTTGGCGGGAACAGTGAAGAACACATCCCGGCTTCGATTATTTAATCAATCAAATGTTTCTTTTAAGTTTCTTAATCTTGGAAGCCAATCATTAATCTGAAAACAAATAAAATCGTGCAGGCAACTAGAAAACGTCAATCGTAGAATATTCACTCGCCTCAAAAGGGAAATAAGTGGTACTGCAGCGACTTCAGAGATTGTTGCACATAAAAAAAAACAACATCTAGCTACAGATGCAGAGACACCAGGTTCTATTTAAACTTCTTCCTTCCCTTCTTGTTTAACTTATTTACATGGACAAGCCTTCTCATTAATAACAGTATAAACTCTTCCTTTTATAGTGATTTTCCAAGCGTAGCTTAGATGTGGCACAAGTTCGAAAGTAGGGGGCACTCAGTGAGGATCAAACTCACTCTTCAGTCGTAATTGTTCTAGCTAAACAAGCTTGCTAACCATTACACCACCTTGAGGTGCTCGACTCATTCTTTTATACACATACATACAGAAACATTTTTACAGAATGGATAAGCTGGTCACAACCGGCAAATAATTGGTCATGACTTTGATGGTCCGAACTGAGTGGGAATGTTTTTAATCCCGTTGGGCGTGAAGTCCTGACAATGATGCATTGCCTTTGTTTAAGTTTTGATAAAAGACTAAGAAGACAAGGGGAATCAGTTGGCTGCAGAAATTAGAAGGCTCAAATTCCCTCCCAGAACCAAGAATTCTTAATGGACATGGAAACGTCTATTACTAATTAAGTATTTAATTTATTAAGTATATATTAATTATGTATATATTTTGAATGAAAACTTGTAATTGTCAACGAAACAATTGTTATCTTACCAATAGAAGATAACAATCATGCTTTTCCTTCTGAGCCCAATGAATTGATGATGAGGGGACTATGCTGCTGATGATATATATATATATATATATATATATATATATATATATATATATATATATATATATAAGGCTCAAACACTAATATTCCATGGCTATAATTTATTACATTGGAATCGTAATCACGATCCAATTCATCAGACCTACAAATTGTAGACCTACAAATTTTATTATTTGGATCGTGTTTACGATTCCAATATAATAAATTATAAACATGGAATATTAGTGTTTGAGCCTTTTATATTATATTCTTACTCTGTCCTGAACATTGAGTTCTACCTCGATTATATTATCTTGGGAATATATATATATATATATATATATATATATATATATATATATGTGTGTGTGTGTTATAAGAATGGTCGGAAACAGAAAAAAAAAAGTTTATCAAGTATTGTAAGAAATAGGGCTCAAGATAAAATTTTCCAACAAAGAAACTAAGATCTGGAATTGGAACGAAAGCAGTGATAGCACCTAGCCTGAATCCATCATAAAAATGAAAACATCCTCTATGAAGTGTTCTAAGAAATAGGACTCAAACCTTTCTAAAACAGAAACTATGATCTGGAATTGGGATGAAAGCAATGATGGCACCTACCCTGAATCCATCATAAAAATGAAAACATCCTCTATCAAGTGTTCTAAGAAATAGGACTCAAGATAAACCTTTCCCAACACAGAAACTATGATCTGGAATTGGAAGGAAAACAGTGATAGCACGTACACTGAATCCATCATAAAATTTAGGACGTGGAATTAGTAAATGCTTCAAATACATCAGTGTTGGGATCCATTGTAACAGAAAAGGAAATTGAACATTGAATAGGTTGTGCCAGACGGAGTTTCTATTAATACTGCAAATTATTACGAAATCAAAACATTAATCTGAAAATTTCCGGACTTAAATAGCCTCGACAGATCGAGACATTCATATGAATGTCATGCATGGCGCATTTACCGTCCATTAATATCTAAATTGTCAGCTGTAAACAACTGTTTTCCAAGACTTATCCAATTTTTTTTTTTTAAGCATTTCATCCCAAGCAAGGCGGGAAGCCACTAGGACGCAAGGGGTTACAGAAAATTTAGAGCAAGATCAGATAGAAGAAAGGATGAGGGTAGTGGATAGATCAAGGCAACTGGAGATGTCGATTGAAAACATCCTCTATGAAGTATCTGAATATCGCTTAATCCATAAAACTGAGTCATCGTGCAGTATTAATTTCTCTATCCACACTGACTATACCTACAAACGTTCTATCTTCTACATTTAGAGTCTTTTTCACTATATGATAGACCCTTCGTCTTCGACGAGGAAGTGTTCTTAGAGCTGAAAACTCAGACTCCGTGCTCATAGGTTTTTATTACAGTAACAAAGGCTTTTGCAGAAATCACCAAGAAGTTATGGAAACTCGTAGATAATAAAGGTCTACTTGGAGAAAGCAATATAGTTATATATAGATATATATATCAGTTTCATAAATAAAGAAAATTATTCAGTGGAGAGACATGATCGCCTACATACTGAAAGGACATCGTATATTAAAAATGCTCACACATGATTTCTTTTTATTTTAGGAACTGGATAAAAAATTCACTGGCAGATATTGTGAATGTGATGACTATAGCTGTGTCCGTGTCAATGGAAAATTATGTGGAGGTCAGTATTTATTACATTCATTTGACATTGGAGCCATTATATGTTATGGATGGCTTGTCATGTCAACCTTTTTTAATATTCTATTTTAAATCTTCTGAATACATTTTGCTTTTGACGAGAAAAGACATTCAAAGATATTGAAAGGTTTTTTCATAAATGTATTTTATTCATTTATAAATTCCATATATTTATCATTTACTAGAAATACACGTGAAAATTACTCGATTTTCTGACTGAATTTTCTGATGGATTTTAATTCTTAAATTAATAATTGCATAGGTTTATGGTGAGTTCTACGACAATAAAATATCCGTAGAAATTCCCCAGCCGCATCGTTAAATATTTGTAATAAGAACTGAAAAATATTTGAAATTGACAACTTTTCCATTTGACTGAAACAGATTTTAAACATTTCTATCTTTCCTTTTTTCTTCTTTTCTTTCTTACTGAAACCAAGTAGCGTCTTTCCACGCAAAACAAACGATGAGCTTATGCAAATATTAGTCATGGCTGTCAGACAATTTCTGCGACCACATCACTCTTTATATCTGACCACCTAATTCCGCAGACTGAAACCATGTGGATTATTATATTTGGGGCGCAGATGAGAGAGAGAGGGGGGGGACTAATAAAACTCCTTGTATTACCAAAGATGAATTGAAAGCAAGGATTATAGTATCATTTACTAACTTACGATTTACAAGGAGACCGTCCAGAAGAGTTACAGGAGGTTCCAAAGTCATCTGGAGGCCGTGGTTGAAACCAATGTCGATTTAATTAAATAAATTTACTTTTTTGTATTTCAAGTTATTTGTGCGTAATTTTGGTAAAGGTATCTGTTAAAATGAGATGTCAGTATTATTTTCATTTTTATGTAATTTAGACAACAATTTATCCATCGCGCCTTGTATTTATAGCCATAAAAATGTGTTCAAATTATTTAGATTTCTGCATGAAATAACGATATGATATGCCGCTAAACAAAATCAAACAAACAACAATAAAACCAACATGAATGAACTCTTTCATGACATTAATCAATATAATGTTCTTCAATTTCTTAAATCAAACTGTATTCCAAAATATAACTTCAATACAAAACAAACATATCACCGCCTCTAGTAATCATATCCTCACGAACTAGTATATGCACAAAATCTGAGTTTCATCTACCATGTATTCAATTGTAAAAGCAGAATAACATATAATTCTATTAAATTTCGTAATTAAATGACCGATAAGGTGTTGATATGCCGTTAAACCAATCATTCAACTAATAATAAAATAGTAGCTGGCACGAAAGTGTGTGGGAATCTGGAGTGTATCATTGAACCATGGTGAAAAAATTGCAATCATGCTTGCAGAACATTTTGGAGATCAGAGAAAGGTTGTAAGCACAGCGTGTTGGCGTTTCAGCATGACGATAGAGATGTCAGTAAAAATGTATCCAAGCTCATTTGGTGAATATGATTATAACTGCCGTATGGTTTGGCAGTATACGGTATTGAAAATTGGTTGATAGTTTGGAAAAAAACTGTGTGTTCCTATTGAGAACTTGCTACATCTAAACTAATCCGTTATTTAATCTTCCTTAATCTGTTGTAATCTTCATTAATCTGTTGTAATCGCGTTGTGAATAAATGATAAGCGTTATATTTTTATGCACCCCTCCTACTTTTAATTTTTTTTGTCTTATTATTTTCATAATTACACAGATATGTTGAGATTCATGCAGATGATAAGCGCCTGTAAGCAACATTGCATTTTAGACGTCTTTCAATTGTTCATTTGAATTTAGGTGAAGAACATGGTAAGTGCCTTTGTGGAAAATGTCTTTGTCGAAGACGTTACACGGAACCCAACTGCACTGACGGCACCCCAGTCGACAGATGTACATCCAGCAATGGTGTAAGTAAAAACAAACAAACAAACAAAAACCAAAACTCTCTTTCTTTCTTTTTTTTCTTGATAAGATCCAGAGACGGATATGCAATGTACTTGGCCCTGATCTGGCATCTCGTCTGCAGTCGCTCTCTCACAGACGTACCGTCGCCTCCCGCTGTCTTTTTTACACATACTTTCACGGTAACTGCTCCGATGATCTGCTTTCGCCGGTTCCCAGACTTCATGAATTTAAGCGTTCAACTAGGCTGGCATCTCACTCTCCCCCGTTCACTGACGAAAGAGTTAAATGTAGCTGTCTCTTCTACTCCAATAGCTTCATGTCTCGTATTTCTCGCCTGTGGAACTCCTTCCCCTTTTATGTTTCCCTGATAGCTATAATCTCCAACTATTGAAATGTAATGTCAATCGACGTCTCCAGTTTGGCTTGATTTATCCCCTACCCTTCTCTTCATCCTTTCCTCTATCACTCCCATTTGCTCTCACTCCAATTCTCTGTAACCCCTTGCGTTCTAGTGGTTTCCCGACTTGCTTGGGGGTGAAACGCTTTAAAAAAATAAGAGGTTTGTCTATCTTTCGATTTATACTCCTTCCCGGTAGACATTTCATGTTTATGATTAGATTTCCAGTTTCATCTAAAGTTTTTTTTTCATTCTCTTTCACTTTTCACTTTTCTTGCGTCTTAGCGGCATTATTGCCTTTCTTTAGTTCAACTCTACTTGTCCGTTCGTAATTTTGCTTTTCCCTCCTTTCTTTAGTTAGCGTGACCTTTGCGCCCTACCAGTACCTCATAAATAATGAATAATAAAAAATATATACCACCCGAGTATCCAAGCTTACAGCATCTGGTATTCCCGAGCTGTCACCCATATAGGTACTGACAAGGTTCTACGTTGCTTAACTTCAGTGATCGTACGGAAACCAGTGTTTCAATGTTATGTAGCCGTAAGTTTTAAGGAAGAAGAAGAAAATAAAAAATCGAGTTAGTTCATGAATTTTTGTGGGGACAAAATATAATTTAAGAGACTCAAACGCTACTTAAATAACAAGGCTGAATTAATAAAGTTTCTTTTCTTATATTTTTCAGTTATTCTGATGATGTTCTTACTGAGCGAAACGTTAACAAAAGAATACACTTTTAATCATTGAAGTGAATTTCACATGTTGCATATTATTTTGTTCGGATATTTTCATTTTATCATAAAGGTCAATGTATAGAAAGAGCTTTAACATCGGAATCCTCGACGCTAAATCCTCAAATGCAACATATGTAATTTACCCAGAAATCTGTTGCTAATACAATGTTGTATAATATTTACATTATTCGGACTATTGTCCTCATCTTTGTCGCCATATTTATTACAACGTTTCGGCCCTTCAGTATCTGTTTATATTTTTGCGATGCTGTTCTTTCTCTTTATTTGTATATATATATATATAATCGACTCTCTCGTCGAGTTCGACGTATGAGGTCAGGCCGATAAGTTTCCAGGAAACCGACATCCCGACATCGGCACATGAGATTTGATTATAGTGGTGAAGGCCTCCATGCAGGACCAGCCACACTTTTTTGAGGGACGAATACAGAAACCTGGTGCACCGAATGCCACAAGGTTCCCAAACGACCCTCCGCAGGTTTTGAATTCAGAGTTGTCCTTCTCCTAGACCAGTTGCCATCCAAGGCTATAGAACCCAGTCTGTCCTGCTATTTTACCCATAGCTGGAGGGAGATGAAGAGGATTCATACCTTTCCCAAGGGTATTAGCACGTAAGCGAATGTAATGGATTCGAGTGGAATTCGAACTCGGCTCTGCGATTCCTCAATCCAAGCCGCTATATATATTTGTGTGTGTGTGTGTGTGTGTGTGTGTTTAAAGGTATGCCATATTTATGGGTTAAATTGTTCAATATCAGGGAGAAATGGTATGCAGATGTAGATGCCCTGAAGATTGCGTTCACATGTGTGTGTGCGTGAAGATGATGAGATAAACTAGAAAAATCAATAAACGTGTTTCGCCGAGAGTGTTGACTCTTTCTGGCTCCTTCAGTTTTTTTTACCTGCTAATATAGCGCAGACAATGTCGGTGTGAATGTGTTTGCCAAGCTAATCCACCCTTTTCTCCGTGAGCCATCATGACTTACATTTCAAACCTGAAGAATCTCTCACCGAAACAAGTCTTTTATTTATTTTGAAATCGTCATCGTCAATTTTCTTTCCTATACTATTATATATTCTAAAAATAGACATGTTAGTGTCATACTCGTCAATATATTGGGCTCCTTAAGATATCAGATCTGATATTAGAATGAATACTGTCACTCACTCCCAAGCAAATTATAGTGAGCAATACTTAATATCCACTTCCGGTTTTCACAATTGGACGAAAAAAATATTATTGTTTATAATGACCTTAGGACGAATAACTCGCCGCTGAAATAATATTTTTCTTTTATCACCGTCTACCAAGGCTGACGATGGAGGTAGTAGCTTTGACCTGCTATTGTAGTGCAGACAAAATCATTGTGAATACATTTGTCCAGATAACGCACTCTCTTATCAGTAAACCACCATGGCTTACCCACTGAATGAGAAGACATTTCAAGATTCCGAGGTCAAGACGAACTGGGTTCATGATTTTCCCATGGACATCAATGCAAAGTGAACTCGCTCATATTCAGAAACGAGGAAAGAAGGCTTGGAGTATCTGACACTCAAAAGATCAAGAAGAAAATGTTTAAAAGAAAACGATGAATAACCTACCCGACGCACTTATGTAAATGATTAGCAGAAAAGGGAAGAACTAGGAAAAGAAAAAGACAAAATTTAATAAGAGCTGCAAAGGATAGGATGTTGTGGAGAGCCGTTATATCATGAAGGGACGTGGTACATAGATGAAGAAAAAGTAGGTGTGACAAAAGAGGATCACTGTTGACGTAGATGTTTACTATCCTGGCGTGTTTAAATGAACACCACACGTCGTGATCACGTCGCCAGATGCTAGTGCACATTTGACCAGAATATCTGCAAGATTTTACCTAGTTAAGACTAGAGAGCCACTCAAGGTTGAGGGATAATAGTAGTGATGAATGTGGTGTATAGTATAAATATAATACGATATGGTTTTCAATTTTGTGGTAGCCTAAGCATTCTGTAGCATTAATAGCAACTAGCCAAATTCCCGTCTTACGAACATTTCTCTTAAAAATTTTTTTTAAATAATTCATCAGACGATATTATTTTATTTATGGTAATTGAATTTTTGGCGAATGTCTTACTCGGTTTCCGTCGTTCGATACGGTGCGTCTAAGAAATGCCGGTTTTATCGCTAATGAGCCTCGGCCTTTAGTCTAAGATCAAAATGTAGTATCTGCCCTGGGCGGATAATCTACATTTCATCTTTCAGTTGGGTCTATGTCTTCGGATAGAGCGCAATTGAAGATATTCTTGAGAGGTGCCCGTTCTTGGGAAACAGCCTCCCGGGGCAGTATCTCTCTCCTGATACTAAAGAGTTGCGGGAATCGTTATTACTACCGATTCCGGCGTTACCGACGGTTTTGAACTGGCCCAGGTGCACGCGCTCGGGCTCCCCACATTAAACTGACTTTGCAATCGCTCCTCGACCTTTTGAATATAATCAAAGTGTAGTGTCTGTTCTTATCAGCTTAATCTGATTCTCTCTCTCTCTCTCTCTTTCTCTCTCTCTCTCTCCACGTCTATCTTCTCTTCTTTCTTTCTTTATTTCTTTATTTATTTAATTTTCTCACTGAAACAAAGTAGTGTTTTTTCCCCACGCTCCATATGGTGGAAACGGAAGTCTATTATTTATGAGGTCCTGGCAAGGCGTAAAGGTCATGTGAACTAACGAAGGAAGAAACGATTACAGTTATACTATGATATTACACAAAAAGACCTTCTTTCTCTCTGTCGAGATTGTTCAATTTAGAGAGGCTGAAGACATTGTTGTTTGAAACAGATGTCTCTGAAGGATGCGCTACGATGCCCGGAAATGCCAGATAATATTAAAATGTATTAATAACTTATTTTATTGGGAAATTGAATGGATTGATTCTAAAGGAACTGACCAATTAATAATTTACTTAGAATGTAAAACTGAACTCTTACTTTGTGTCCATTTTTGTAAATCTGCGCGTTTGTAATCAGTTATTGTTTTTAGAGACTATATTTTACATACATTCTCATATAAATGTTCTTTAGTTTTGTCTAAATGTTATTAAAATACAATTATGACTGATTTATTGATTTCGATTTCCGTCAAATCTGTTCAACCATACCCAATTGCCCAATTGTGACTGGCCCACTGAGATGCTGGAAAAATTTCCCTGTGGGTTCCAAAGTAATGGAACGTCACTTTAGAAATCACCAAAAGAAGCAAAAACTAAAAAAAAAAAAAAAAAAAGGAATGAAAATTATTGTGTAGATGCTGGGAAGATTTAAATAAACATGCTTTGATGGTAGAATTTCTTTCAGTAGATCCTTAGTTATTTGTTAAAGCTTTTTTTTTTCATTTTCAAGGATATTTTTTAATTTCGTTTTGGTTCGATGATGTCAGTTAGTTATGTGCTATGCATGATACACACTTAGGCGATCATGTATCTTTCGATACATGACTGACGAGGGAATGAAAATTAAATGAAAAGGAATGAAAATTATTGCGTAGATGCTGGGAAGATTTAAATAAACATTCTTTGACGCTATAATTTTCTTCGGTAAATAGAGATATCCCCAGTAACTTGTTTAATAAACCTTTTTTTTATTTTTAAAGATATTTTTTAATTTCGTTTTGGTTCGATGATGACGTCAGTCAGTTATGTACCATATGAGATACACGCGTAGGCGATCATGTATCTTTCGATACATGACTGACGAGCCAGATTTTTTTCCCACAGTAGGTTTCCATTTCTTTCTGTGGTAGACTAGTTGCCATCCAAGGCTATAGAACCCGTCATGCTATTTACCCATAGCTTCCGAGAAATGTTAAGTCAGTCACGTGCTATGCATGATACACGCTTAGGCGATAATGTATCTATTGATATATGACTGATGAGGCAGATTTTTTTCCAGCAGTAGGTTGCCATTTCTTTCCTCCAAGGCTATAGAACCCGGTCTGTCTTGCTATTTACCCATAGCTGGGGGAGAAGAGGTTGTATTAGCACGTAAGTGAATGTAATGGATTCAGCTGGAATTCGAACTTGGCTCTCCGATTCCTCAATCCGAACCGCTATCCATTACTCTACCGAAGATGATGAGGAGACTGAATTGGCAATATAGGGGGAATTCAGTAGTATAAGACAAGAAAGAGACGATTGCCTCGTGTACTCCACAAAGATGAAAGAATTGATGATTCACTGGATCACTACAGGGAGTAAGTAGGTGGTTTTCACTGGGCCCTTTTATAAGTTTTTCAGGTAGAAAATTTCAGCCCAGTCCGCTACTACCAAGTGCTAAAAGATTAAAGATCTAAATACTTTCTTTCCTGCAACAATAGTTTTAATTGTATGAATAAATATCGTAGATTACTGACGCAGAACATATATTCAGTGTAATTGCAAAATCGCTTAAATATATCGGTCATTTTTAACCTTTTGAGCCTTGACCACCGCTTTATGGTTGTAGAGAAAAATGACGTAATGCCTAGCTAGCCATCGGTTGAACAGTGGTAGAGAAAAATGACTAAATGACCAAGCCACCGGTTCAACGGTAGTAAACACTTGTAACTATTTTTCTATCTACCGTGAAACATTACATCCCAATTATTTGCAAATTTTGACTCAGAAGCTCAGGCAGAAGGGTTCAAATTGTTCAGGAACGCGGGGCTCAATGGGTTAAGTAATGGTTGCAGTTCAAAACACCTGAAAGTTTAATCTTCATCTTTGTTTTTGTTACGACAAATTTTCGTCTATAATTTAGGCATATATCATATAGTTCTTATTCATTTTGTTCACTTAGTGCTCCTACTATTGCAAATGAATCTATGCCTGCACTGGTCCACGAAGAAACTTCATCTTTGTTTTTTTACGACACATTTTCGGAAAGGAATATTTCGTATAACTCTTGTTAATATTGTTCAGTTAGTGCTTGCCCTTTCACAAATGAATCTATGCTTGTACTGGTCCACGAAAAACTACAATTTCTATGTTACCAAATTCATATGATGGGTTAAACATAATGTAAAATAAACTGTAATTATTGTACATTTAATGTAATTGCAAAATGTCGTCCCATTAAACATTAACTCTTTTTCAGAAGAGGGGTTTTGTCGCTGGTCCTAAAAACTCGTAGGATTCTCACTTTAAACCGGGCTTTGTTTCATTCATCTCTTGTGGGCGTGCGTAAAATATCTTTACAAATAAGTGACCAGAAGTGTAAGAAAATTTTGTTTTTCTAATAGAAACCAGGTTTTCGTAATAATGATAAAACTTTTGACAATTTCAACAATTTAAGTTATTGACGTTTTTTTTTCTGTTTCAGAAAATATGCAATGATCATGGAAAATGCATTAATCATAAGTGCCAATGTGACGAACGGTATTCAGGCCCAACTTGTGAAGAATATGATGTAAGTTTTCTTCTTCTATGTGCTGTGTCTCTTCAGGATATTGGCGATCAAGGCACTCCACGGTTTCCCTCTTCTTTGTAGCACATAATAACTTTTTTTTTCTTTTTGCCAACCCTCTCAAACTCTGCCATCCATTTACTATGTAGTTTATGCGTTGTTTTTCTCTGTCCCTCTTGCCTTCAATCTGCCCTGTGAGTATTAACATTTCGAAGCCTTCTTTCCTCATTATTAACCTAGAAATTTGAATTGTTTCTACTTGATGTTACGTATAAGTGTTCTTTTTGTTTCCGTTTTCTTTAAAACTTCTTTATTAATCACATATTCGGTCCATAGCATTCTCAGCATCCTTCTGTAGAACCACATTTCTGTTGCTTCAAGTCTCTTCTTTATCTGTGAAAAGATCGTCCAGCATCCAATAGGGCTGATATTACATAACAGTTTATTACTTTTTTCTTTGCTTATAATTAAATTCTTCCTATATCTTAATACTTTGCTTAATTTTGGAAGGCATCTTTCACTATACAAATGCGCTGTGTTGCCCTTTTTCGTTGCCTGCTAAAACATTTCCCAGATATTTAAATTGTTGTACCTCATTATTTTGGTATCTGCAATTTGTGATTTACGTATAAGGCTATTCTTTGTACTAACAACCATGCATTATGTCTTCTTGCAACGTATGTTTAGTCCTTTCTTCTTGCTTTCTTACATTACTTTCTGTAAGAGTTATTCTCGTTTTCTTTCTGTGTCTGCTATCAAGACTCTGTCGTCTAAATATCCACAGGGCATTTCTGCAAAATTTCCGAAGATACCGCGCCGATAATTTTCAAAAAGTCGCCTCCTCGGCAAATCGACCATTGTGAGATTCTAACCTCGGTCACATTACCAGAAAGCACCTACAACCCCCCCCCACACACGCACGCGGGCACGGATACATACACACACACACGCGTGCACGGATACATACACACACACACAAACACGCTCTATCTATCTCTCTCATTCAAACACGCACACATACATATATATTCAAACATCTGTTGTTAAATATAACAAAAAACGAATATCTATTACGTTTGATCATGAGCCGTTTCAAGGTTCGTATAATGGCATTAGTTTCGGGAGAAAATAAAGAAAAAACTGTCCAACATTTGGATATTTTTTTTTTATTATGTTGTTCCTCGATCTCAGCTTTCGGTTCAAATGAGTCATCATCTAAATGGTTATATCGAGATTACAAAAGAGCTGTACACCATCAAATATGACATCCAGTTTTGTTTACATAGAAGTTTGCTATGCGATAATAAAGTTCGCGGAATAGAAGACGCAGGTTGTAAATTCGTAAAACGGTTCTATGACGTCATAGATGACCACGTGAGAGAAAGAAATGTTATCAACTGAACCACGTGTTTAAATGCATTGTAATATGGTTGTGACTGGTTTGAAATGTAATTTTCTTGAGTTTAGTTTTAATTTTAAATGGCCTCCAATATTTTAAGTTTCTATTTACTGT